AGGAGGTGTTGGAGGGGGTGTGGGAGGCAACCATGGAGGGTTGTCCAGGTCCATGGCAACCTCCATGGCTACCTCCATGGCGATGTCGATGGCGATGTCCATCGCCACCTCCAATACCTCCTCGTCTGCGAAGAAGTTTCGCAGAAATTGTTCGCGAGGGGGCTCGCGGTACCCCATGTTTTCTTTGTATTTTTTTAAATTTCACGCGCACACGCACACGTACACGCACAGCACACACACACACGCACGCACACACACGCACGCACGCACGCACTTAGTATGTCGGATCAAAAGTAAAGTGTACAAATACGAAAACGAACGGGTATACCCGCGGAAAAAAAAAATGTGGTATATCACTCAAAGTATGCATGCACTGACAGATGAAAGAACACTGACGACGAGATGCATCAGCGAGATGCATCGGCAGCCCTATCTATGTATATATAAAAACAATTGCGGCGGCCCTATCTATTGTATATAAAAACAACTCCGATTACTTTGCTAATATAATCGCGCGTAGTAAATCTAACGTAGAGATTTGTTTCGAAGGCAATTGTAGTATAACGGGATGGGAAAGAAAGGCTACGAAGAAAAAAAAGTAGTTTATGCTGAATATATATATATATATTTTTATTCATAATTTTGTAGAGTATATAATTTTCTTTTATTAATAACTTTTAGTACAATGTAGTAAGTGTTATTACTTTTTATCGCGCGTTAAAAACCAGAGCGAGAAGCTCGCAATCGACGAGCTGGCGTTTGTCGAAGACGTCGCTCTCGCTTATGGCGTTCGCGACGTTGGCGAAGCGCGTGTACTTGACGTCGACGGTCCCGACGAGTCGGGACAATCGCTCGAAGGTAACGTCGATGCAGCCGTCGAGATCGAACATACGGCGTAGCGTGGATTCGATCATCGTGACGTGGACGGTCGGGGATGCGAGCCGTACGAGCGTGAGATCGGTGTGCGCGTAGATCGTTACCGTGATCGGTCCGACGGTTACGAAATTATCCTTGTGCTCGTTGCGCAGCAACTTGTAGATGTTCGATCGCTGCTCGTAGAGACCCTTCCACGTCTCGAGGGACATGGGCAGTTCGCGTCCCTGATGATCGCCCAGAACGATCTCCACGTAGCTCGGTGGACCGACGTTGACGCCGATTTCCAGAAACTTGTAGCCCGTTGCGGTCAGGTCGTAACGCCGACTCAGAATGCGCACGGGGCGACGCTTCGTCCTGCGTACGACGGTAATTAGTGAAGTCGAAGGAAAATAAAAGAAGAGTAAAAACTTACGATTCCTTCTGGTCCATCTCGGAGTAGAAGCCGAACATGATCCGTTCGGGCGGACGATCGTAGCGAGAATGATCGGATGTTCTCAGAACTCGAAGGGAGAAATCAAAGGGAGTGGGGGGGGAGAACCTGTCGCTCCAACGATTCCGAGAAATGTTTTTGTTCGTAAGGCTCGCTCCAACGATTCCGAGAAATGTTTTTGTTCGTAAGACTCGC